CCTTCGTACTTCTTGCCGCATGGCTTGTGAATGTCAATTTGTATAAAGCACATGTTGCGATGGCACAGGAAATAACAGTCAAGAGATGATGAAAGTAACATAGGGTAATCAATGCTCGGAATATATACATCTGCCGCCGAGTTGAGTGTGGCCATAGAAAGCTCACACGATAGAAAGATGCTGGGAAAAGAAAAGAAAAGAAGATCAACGATTGGGTCGCTTGCAAATATCATAATCTTCCAGTAACTCTCGACCACGCTCGGACTTGCGCAGCATTCTTTCTTCTATGTTGAACGTCTCAGTCCAAAAGGTAGTGAATGTCTGTCCTCCTTCCTTGAAATCGCACATGCTCACTTGGCGCACAATTGTATAGCTGTCACCAACTTGCTGCTCTATGTAGTGCCTTTGAAACGCGGGACACCCATTTATTAGAGACTTTCCGTCCTTTAGGATAGAGAACAGCGGATCTATCAATCAATGAGTATGCTATGTCCACTCGAGCCATGCGCGTACAAACCTTGAGAGGGTGTGTTGGTGGCTTTGCGTTGCCAGCCGAGGCAACCAAAATAAGGCACGATAGAGGCAAAAAGGGGGTACATAGCTCTAGATGGCAATAAAAGTGTTGATGAAGACTGGGTCGCATAGCAGGCGAAACTGTGCACTGACGAGGCAGCACAGTGCAATTAAATACGCCCATCATGCAAGTGCAGATAACATACAGATTGGGCTAGTGATATAGCCAGTGATTGATATTGTCTATAATGTAGAACTTCCCATTGACGTGTCGGATGAGAAATATGATGTCCCAATAAAGTAGATTCATTACAAAGAACCCCGCAAGGTGAGCTAGCAAGAGTCTAGTCTACATTCCATTCTCTGTATGTGGGAGCCCAGAACAAGACGGCCACTAGAAGACTTTACGAGCGGGGGAGTAATTACCTCTCTCGAAGCAATGCTAAAACTGAAAAGCCTATACAACCCAATTTTGCATTTCCGCGTCTCCTCGTGAGCAAAGGTTTATCTGTGCTGATCAGGCCGTCGGAAGAAGATAGTTACACAGTGTAAATAATTTCCCAGTATACAGATTATGGGAGCACCCGCTGATTGGGGGATGTAAATATTAGTGGGCCAAGTTAACGCCGAGCTAATCCATCTTCAACTGTTCCAGCAAACCAACGCTATTGCGTCGCTTATTGGTTGAGGTTCGTGTGTATGAGGCCAATCATAGATCCATATATGACTGCTTAGGTTGTTCTGTGCGACCGATACACGGGTCCACTGATATGATCTACCAGGAAAGGGATCGGATTTTGGCCATTGCACCAATGCAGCTCTGCAACGTCCCTGGCAGTCCGTTGGTCATCGATCGCGCGTCTGAAGAATGTCCGCTTGCCCCTGTTCCGGGAAAGGCGGAGAATGTAGATAGGGACAATATAGGTTTGCTTATGAGCTATATCGTAGTCGTATCGGCGGTTATATCATGGCGATATCTGGCGACATATAGCGTAATCGTGGCCTAGTATAGTAATCAAGGCGCTAGTCTAAATTGAGTAGGGTGGTGGCTGATAGTAGAGCTTTGGTGGTAATTCTGGTTGACAGTTTGTTTACAATGACCAGTGGAGCCAAGTGTGGTCAGCTAATCCATTTTGGGAAGAGTTACTCAGAAAAGGGAATAGCTGACCCCGGCGGCCCGCATTTCACCTAGGACCCTCGCCATAAAATGCCTTGTTAAGGAGACTTATCAACAGAATAGTATTTGTTCTAGTTATGAGCCTAGTGTGGCTACTTGTCGACAATCCAGGTAAATCAGCTGGGATATGGGTGGTTCGCGCTCAAACAGTCTGGATTTGGGTAGAGAATAGTTAATGTAGGCGAGTCCAAAAATAAGGAGTCTTAGCTTTGGCCAACTGATAGCCAAGACCAAAAAAAAAGTTCAAGGCCAAAGGATAGAGAAAGTCTTGGCTATGGCCAGTTGGCCATAGCCAAGACCCTAAAAAAATAGTGTGATGCCAAAGCACAAGGCCCCGCGATGCAATGTTGCCAGAAGGTTGGTCTTGCTTTCATCCAACCCATTTTTTTCAACAACTATCACAACATGTCACAAGAAGAGATAAGACAAGCTGTGCAACTTCTCGTACAGGCAACTGACGATGCTCTTTTCGCTGTCAGAACCGAACTCTTAGCCGCTTTTATCGGATTAAGGAAACGTCTCCAATTATCTACAGATCGATGTATCGAGACGCTCGATACTCTCTCGGCTAAGAAAGATGAGATCAAGAAAAAGCAGGCCGACGTGATTGGTGTTATTGGCGAAATATCATCAAGACAAGCAGATGTCCGCCTTCAGCATATTTACGCAGAACAACCTGGAAGCAACAGCTTTGACTGCCGTGTTCGAGCTATTTTTGCATACCGTTCCTTAGGATTGGAATTCGAGGAGTACACGATAAGAGAGCATGGTATCTCCCGAATTGCAGAACTTGCTTCGGACTTTCGTAAGGCCGACAATAAGGGTTCCGGGCGCGTCCATGAGTTTCTGAGGAAAAAGGGACTGGAAACCGACTGGCCCAGTCAAAAAGCAGTTCGCTTTGCCATTAAAGTACTGGTCCTTGAGAGAGCTTTTGGGAACTGTGGTATCTCGTGGTTGGTGTCATTCATATTTTCAAAGATTCGGAACTTGCCTTACATTTCTCTCATTGATATCTGTCATCTGCTCTCACAACGTGACAGCGACTACTCAACACTTGGGGAGTTGGCCACATCGTTTTCAACCCTTATTCAGACCAGTCAACGGCAGTATGATGGTGAGTTCTTCCAAACATTTAAATTATGACGCTCAGATTTCGTTTGGTATAGCGTTGGTTACCCCGGATGTGATTAGTCAGGATCCCCATCACGACCGACCGGAGCGCTTGACAGAGGATGGGCCAACAAGCGATTTACCAGCCGAGATGGATAGGTTGGGGGCATCTTTTGAGCGAAACCGAGCTTCTACGGTTGATCTACTGGCGTCCTCGTCTCAAAGTGACAAATCCGTTCCAAGCTCAAGGTCTTCAGAAAACTCAGACACCGCTTCCGTGGCTGAGTGCTCGAATTCGGATACCCACGGTGTCCATTCATTGCACAATCATTCTCTTGAATGTGAACTTGCAAGCGACCGTGATCGAACAAGTGAAACAGACCGGGTAGCCCATGCTGATGATGATGAAGAGGCTGCACTTCATCCATCGAAAAAGAGAAGGATATTATCACACCCTCAGAAACAGAACATACAGGTGCTGGTAGCGCTCTTTCGGAGAATTACAATAGCTAATTTAGTCCTAGTGGCCCCAAGGTGTGAGTTCACGATCACTGTTGAACACTTCAAATACTCCTACACCAACCCATGCATATTCCGACGGGTTGAATAGTGAATCCCATGCACGATGGAGGCCCTCATACATGGGCGAAACGCCTACAGATTCTCAGCAATATCCGCCTTCAAACATGAATTTCTGGTCTGTTATTGATGACAGGGCCATTGACACAGCAAGTTCACCCGACCAAACTGGCCCGATGCCAAATGGAAGCAACGTACCGTATAGTCTATCAGCTATATCTCAACAGCACATTCAACCGTCTGTTCAATCCAATGAGCGAGATGGACCACATGCAGTACAGCCGACACCTTCTAGTGCCTTCCACTGCTATCCTCCTGAACAAATTGTTTCGCAGACATTATCTGTGGGCCGATCTCACCATGAAGGTGATACAAATCCTCTTCATAGCCAGTGTGCACTCAGCAGGATTGATCAAAACCAGTCTTCTCTTACCGGCATCTATGCTTCTGCGACATCAGCAGCCACACAGGCACAGGAAAACCACCAGTTCGTCCAAGCGCTTCGGTCTAGCGTACAAGCACAGATTCTGGAAAGGCCAACAGAGAGCCCTATATCTGAGTGGAACAATGATTCACATCGGGAAACTTTGACAATAAGCAACCACTCTATTAGGCCATTGGAATCTGACCTACATAAAGACCAATTTCAACAACCGTCTAGTTGGGCCCAGTCAATTGCTCTCAACCCTGCCAGCTTCTTGGATTATCTGCCCAGTACAGCCCCTGCCCAGTCTCTTCCCCTTGACCCTGCCAGCTTCTTGGATTATCTGCCC